CCGAGCTCCTAGTTTTTAAGCCGAAGGCAGGTTCTGTTGGAACTGTGCCGCCGGTGTTTCTCTATGGTAGTGCGATAAGTCGCGTCTCTCAATTTAAGTACCTGGGTCACTGGGTAACCGATAACTTGCACGATAGTGCCGACATGGAGAGGGAGAGAAGGGCCCTGTCTGTTAGATGTAATATGCTCGCCCACAGGTTTGCTCGTTGCACCAAAGATGTAAAGATTTCATTATTTAAAGCATATTGCCAAAACTTTTACACAAGCAGCCTGTGGGTGAAGTATACGCAAAGAACCCTGAGTACATTAAGGGTGCAATATAACAACGCTTTTAGGATGCTGATAGGGCTGCCGCGACACTGTAGTGCATCCGGCATGTTCACGGAGGCGCACACAGATGGCGTTCATGCCATTATGCGCAAGAACGCTGCCTCACTCATAATGCGTGTGCGCGGCAGCGCTAATAGCATCCTAGCCGTTGTTGCCAACAGGCTGGACTGCCCCTACCAACTACATTGGATGCAACTACACGTGCGTAGGGTAGTGGTCTAGACTCACTTTTCACTAAAATTAAGTAATTTTGTATTGTGCTAAACATAGCACGTAAGAAAAATTTACTGTATTACTAACATTATTATGGATCATGGTGCGAAATAAATAAATAAATAATTCTAATTCTAATAAACGTTTCTTCTATAGGCTATTAAATGAATGTAACCATGTAGTCTGTGAATGTAACAAATAGAGCAATGTCGTCACTACTACAATTTTGTGTGGCTCTTACATTCTTCGATTAAATAAAATAAAATAAACGACGTAAGAGTACGTTATTGTACATCACTTACAAATGTTTAGGGCGGCATAGTGTTTGAAGAAGCGTCTTGCAATCTCAGCGCATTCGGTTCGTTGCAGTGTTGTTTCACTGAATGGTCAACAATCTGGTCAGAGGTAGCGGTTTTGAATAATTTTGGCAAAGATTACTAAGTATAACAAATGACAAACTTTGCAGGGACTGAATACTACTCTGATGAACATTTTGGGGTATTTAATTAAATGCTTGTATCGGCGACAAGATTAAGCAGGGCTGTAATTAACGCCGGATTTTCGACCTTTCTCTAGGACAATTATGATTTATTGAGTCGCTCCGCGAAACGAGGGTTTACAGCCCTTTGGGGATGCTAATCAGAGCAACATTTTATTAGGCACTCTCGTAATATCTGTAGGTACAATCCACCGCCAGCGCGAACGGGGTAAGTAGTGAACACGGACTTCTGCTTGCCACAATCCAGGAGTACTGCTTCTTTCTGATTTTTTCTTCATTTAAATATTTAATGAACATAGAGTAGGAACCATTCCGAAATATCGGGAAAATAAAAAGAAGTCATACCGTGGTAAGAAACCTGATAATAGTGATAATCGTTTAGTGAATAACTAGACAAATTTGACCGGTGTGAAATATCTTTTGTGGTAATGAAGCGTCAGTTTCTTTTCACCTATTCAAAAAATGCATTAGTGCGTGCGTGCGAGTGTGCAGCCAGCCTCTGACACAGAAAGTTAAAAAATGGTTTGTTACGCCTTAGTGTGTAGTATTTTGGAATTAGGTAGTCTCATCTGGTCGCCTCGACACGCCTTGTATGATAAGCACATTGAGCGCATACAAAAAATATTTATTGAATTTCTCAGTTACAAAAGTAAAACAAAATCCGCCACATACGAGGCAGACATTTCAGTATGCATAGTCTTGCTGATAGGAGACGGCTCTAAGATTCTTTTATAATCTCAGTACATAGTACCTACCTACTAAACAAACCGACCTCAAAAGTGTGTGGAATTAATTACATCTGTTTGCCAAGTTTTATTAAAATCGGCTACCGGAAAGTGCGCAAAACCGGATTCATCCCCTAGTTTGCCACCCTTGGAGGTGAAATATCTTTCCAACAAAAAATAAATCAACAAAGTCGGTTCACTAATGCCGCCGAAGTTATCGCGTAACTTACATAAAAGTTAGTAGCAGTAGAGCTCCTCGTGAAAGCGTTCGTCCAGGGAAGTACTGCCACCGCAGACCACATAAATGTGACTGCCACCATACCTATTTCTGCCGCCAAGCAGTAATGCGGGCATTAATGGTGAAATTACAGGCACATGGGACTTGTCAACTTATGTCTCAGGGTGAGAGAAGCCGTGGCAGTGCCCCTCAGATCTTTAAGTTTGCACTGCAACTGTTATGGACAGGCGTGTAGCTTACTATCAGGCGCACGACTTATTCGTCCCGTGACTTGATATTATATTTTTTTAAATGCATTCGAATTGAGAACCTCCTCCTTTTTTTAAGTCGGTTTAAAATTTTACCTTTTATTTACAATATTTTTTATTACTATTGTTTAAATACTATATTTTAATATTACTAACTATAACTGTTATTTGTTTATTTATACACATTAAATAGATTTAAATACACCTACTAATTGTAATAACTATCAAATCATAAACGTCACACTATGTCACATCATGCAATTTTTTTAAGTTTCTATCTCTAGATAACCTGTAATTGGCATTATATACTGGTCATATAAAATAGATATTTTTGTATGCTGTTAAATATCATGTAATAAACAAATAAAGTATTTTTAAATACCTGAAAAATACGCCGACTACACGCCGTCGCCGACTACGGTTTTACAATCGACGCACATGTGTAAGGAACCAATATTTACCTAGGTTCTAATAAAGTATACTGCATATATTTTGCAAGGCATTTTTGTATTTAAATGCGTGAGTGGTAGTGCTACGTTGATGAAAACACCTACTCACCTACTAAAGATACGGCAGGGCCAGCGGCGGCGGCGGCGGCGGCGGCGGGCGAACTCAACCAATATCAATATTGAAGCGAGACACAACGCAGTTTGTCTTGTGCACCGGTTCAAAATAGCTCAAAGGCTATTTCCTTTTCAATATATAATCTCAAATAACCTTGTTAACATTCCCTGTTCTGCTCCCTTGTGTTTTGCTATCAATGCTCCACCTCCGCGCGGCCGTCGTCAATGCACCGATCGCGCCAACACCGTTGAGGAAATTCTCTTATTCATATAGGTATTCGAAGGAAAATTACGGAACATTTCAACAACCTGATTAATTTAATGCCGAAAAAGAGTGGTTCCTTTTCATGCGATCCCCGATAGGTGAGATATTAAAGAGACAGATTCAGTAAGTGTGATTGAGTATAGAAATCGTAAGTGGGTATCAGACGTGAGCTAGTTTCTTACACCTGATTATGCAAACCCTAAAGGGTAATATACCTATTGACAAATCATTCCAGCTTTGCTTCCGTTCAGAGCAAACGAGATGTTCTATTTGCTAAAGAATTATTTGAATTAACATTTTAGGAGTTATTTTAATAGTAGGGGCCCATGTGAAACAAGTATGTAGAAACGTAAAAGTTGAGCTGTGTCGACGGCCAGCAGCAAAGTGTGTGCACAAGGCGCGAAATGAAATGGCGATTTAATTCCATTCTATTAATTTATTTTTGTACATTATGAACTTCTATTTACGTAAAAACATACAGTTATCTACACATCATTTTCTTCAAATTGTTATATATCAAGTTACAACCTTAGTTTCAGAGTGATGAATTCATTATACGTGGACATTTAACAGTTTATCAATTATCGAACGACTAAATTGTTAATGGCTGTGCTTTGACGACATTTCGATTGCAGTTCATCGTCTATCGTACATCGTCGCCCAAAATAATACATAACTGCGTCTCACAGTTAGCAAGAAGCTAATATGGAGTAACAATTTTGGTTCTTAATTAAAATAAGTGTAAAATTAACAATAACTAAAACAATAGGTACTGAAATACACAAGTAATGTACCTATATATGCATTATAATGCATGCAAGTACATAGTCGGTATAGTAAAATACTTATATTATTTGGCACCAACCAACTGTGGAAAATATTTTGATCGCTTACGTTGTTGTTACCACGTAACCGACTACTTATAATACAAGGGTTGAGGAAGACGCGGTCTGTTCTTTAAAAAACTTTGGCAAACATTATTTTTAGAAAAAATTTAATCGGAACGTTATTTACAGGTGGCGGTATTGTTGTGTAACATCTCTCAAAATTGGAATTCACCTAAGAGTACAGGTTATTTTATGAAACAGTTAAGTACATTTCGGCCATTCTCAAGTTCGGTGTTCTTTGCCTAATTACCGTAGCCGTTGTTTTTTCTCGCTTATTATTATTATACCCAATAACATGGAAATATGAAAACTTTAAGCTAAAGTATCAATATATCTAAATGGCATTGGAATAAACAAAGTAGTTTTCAAGTTATTAAGACACAAATATTTTATGGAAACGGGAATTAGGTCTAATTAGCATAGCCATGGATACGGTAATTAGAAAGTTCAAACATTTTTAAGAAAACTTAAAAACAAAAATTATAAGGAACAACTAGCAACATATGAATAACTTTGATTTTAATACTCTACACTTTTTGTAATGAATTATACCGACAGAAAATATCTTTTTTAAGTTTTTTCGGCAGAAATAATCAAAATGTGAATTATTGCACTGTTTTTGTGACAACTGTGATTAATCATAACAAAGAATTAGAGTAATTGATTCAAAATCATTACCATTAACCAAATGCTAAAAAAACTGCTTTAAATTTTATTTCAAGAAATCTTGAATGGCATTTGTATCAGTAGAAATAAACTAAATGTAGCAAAGTACACAAATAATAATTCAGCTGTATCAGAAATAGTCAGTTTCTCTTAAAAATGAACTTTCTAATTACCGTATCCATGACTACGATAATGAGATCTAATTACCGTTTCCATAAAATATTTGAATCTTAATAACTCAATAATTACTTTATCTGTTGTAATGCTATCGAAACATATTGATAGTTTAGCTTAAAGTTTTCATATTTCAGTGTTATTGGGTATAATAAGCGAGAAAACATTTGCTACGGTAATTAGGCCAAGGACACCGAAATGGCTATGGTAGTTAGGCTGAGAACACTGAATGTGAGAATGGCCGATTTGAATAATTATTGTTAACGCATTGATAATTTGTTAAATCATAAACTTTTGACAAAATAATGAATCTCTTAACAACGATTCATGGTGAATAACTATGTTGACGACAAAACTGTGAGTTGTGAGTGTCGCGATGCTGAATTTACACAAAAATATTTATCTCTATATCTAAGGTCGCCGATAGCTCGACGCAACAACTATTTACATAGACACCGACGGCGGGTCCGTAACTGTGCCTTACAGCCCGACTCTATTTGTACTTATTTCTTACAAAAATATGTACGTCCAATTATATTATCACAAACGTGTTCCTCGCCGTCTCACACTGCAGCCGACCGCTTCGAACTGAAAAGAAACGAACTTTTTTGCAACAATTCCGATTCAGGGGGTCCACTTGCGTTCTCCGTCCGACATCCGTCTGGAACAATTACTTTGACAGTAATAAGTGATACTCGCTCGACCAAATCAAGAGACAACGTCGAATACGAAGCTTTATTTGCGTCATGCGGTTATTTATTTTTTCGAATATTACTTACTTAAACAGTAATTGTTTGAAACGGACCGACAGGACCGTGCACGAGACTGGCCCCGGCGAGACACGAGAGCCATGGGCACAATGTTAGTTTATTACAGATCATTAGGCGTACTCGTTGAGCAGGCTCTCTCTATTTCAAGAATGAGGACAATTAAGATTATTTCCGGCGGTTTCAAAATCAGCAAGACCTGTGTTAGCATTCCCGCGTACTTCCGTAGACATCCTTGTATTTTACAAAATCTCATGGCACTAAATAAAAAAAAATCGAACATCACTCGGCGACGTCAACAAGTCACATGTCAATTCAAAATGAAAGAATTGTGTCAACAGGATGCCCGTAACTATTTTCAACTTGAAAGTAACGAGTTTATTGCAATAATGTTTACTACCGAATGAACGACAAATTAGGTGGATCTGATTCACAGTCCACGATTTGAAAGCGTGTTTCAAATCTCACAGGTTAGTAGGAGTGAATAGACTTGAACAGAAGACTAGAGTACGTGTTGCCGCCATGTGTTAGACATAGAAAACTTTCTTGAGCTGCCTCCGTTACCATGCCAGACTGTCACGCAGAGGTCCCAGATTCGATTCCTGGGCCGGGAGAAATATTTGTAGGGCCAACATTTATTTCTCTTGTGAGTTTGGGTGTAATTTGTGGTTGTCCATGTGTGTGTCCATGGCACCCGCGACACAGGGTTTCCCTAGTGCGGGGCTATGTTGAGTGTGTGCGTTATTTGAGCTAGACAAGTTAATAGAAGCACCAGAAGGGAGTTTTACTACACTTGGAGGCTCTTCATCATTCGATTCTTCTGAAGAACAAGAGGTGGAAGTGGAGTGGCTGGAATTGTCTTCTTCAGAATAAAAATGTTCATGTTAAGCTCCTCGAGGGTTTCAGTGGCAGTAACTGTATATCCCTGTTCATTATAATGTATAAGTACAAAATAATTAAGACACAATTTTTTTGTGCTCTGCAGTGGCCAGTTCATCGGCTAAATATTGATATCATTAATAATAATAACAATTAATGATATTTTATTTTATTATTAAGCGTGTTAGAAAGTAAATATGTCTTTCACATAAGTACATATTCACGCACATCGTTAAAATTGGAAGAGGATACATAAATTCTGGTCAATGAAATATTGGTATAAAAAGTACCTAGTACATTTTTCCTTTACGACGATATTGCCCATGGCTAGTTTCAACTGGATAGTAGTAAAAGATCCGAAATGTAAATCGAAAATTAACGTGGGTATTCCAAATATGAATATTTTGCATTATTTACTAAAAGCTACTGAAAGCTTTTGTGTAAATAAAACTACGGAAACAACCGAATTAAATACTGAAAGTTCCGAAAAATCTTGCTGACGCAATACTACTTTCCCAACTAAATGTATATTTTACCAAAAACGACTGTTAGCATTTTTATCATAAATCACCAATAAATTAATACAAATTTAAAAGCTACCTTATTAAATAGATTTCATAATTAGCTTTGCTTCACTATTCCAACATACGGAAATACTGTTATGAGTGGCGACATACGAACTCCTAAGAAATATCAAAATCAACTTTGAATCAATACTTAGAAATAGAACAAATATTCTTAAAATGATATGATTTGACACTAAGTGGACGAGGGCGGTGGGAAAAAACTAGCGGAGAGGGAAAGTAAATTTCTGTTCAAAAATGACTTCCGCGTTTATACAAGAAAACTAACTACGAAGTACGCTGTGTGCAGCTTAGACTTACAACCTACATCGAACATATTCGTTTCTATCCAGAAAGACATTCGCGTTCTTATAAAATTTTGAAAATGATAGTGTTGTAGTTAAAGCTCCATAGAAAAAAATTGAGGTTAAAAAGTTAACCTAGGACAAATAACATAAATTAAGTAGGTCCCTATAGCGTGACGAAACGATTTTATAGAAAAAAAATAAGATAACAATTTTTGTAAGTTAGGATTACTTTCGGAACTTTAGTATATTTTTGGAAGTATAGTACTTTTTCTTACATCCTTTGTTTATCAATAACATATTTTAACGCAGCTTATACTGTCAGAATAAATTCAGATTATTTCTCATTTAGTGCCAACAGATTCTGGTAGACCAATACGTATACGAACTCGTTATTCGTACGGAAATGAATTGTTTATTAAAAATCGAAGGCATTCTCTCATTCTTGACTATTTGTCTTTAATGGGAGTATAAGGCGAGGTACATAGATTTACCTTAGTGCTACGTGAGAAGAGAGTCGTATTCGAAGGGCGTGGGGTCGGCCGCTCGCAGGTGTCACCAGAGCACTCCGCCAGATATGTTGGCCACTTCGAGCTGGTCGCGCGGCGGCGAGTCAGCGCGCGGCGCCCGGCGGCGGTAGCGCCGTCGGCGACTGGCCCACAGTGCTAGTGCCAACACCAGCAGCGCGCAAGCCGCTGCCGCGCCCGTGTAGCGGCCGTAGCTCCGTCGAGTCCAGGAGTACTGCGAGAACTGCGACTTCTGCTCCGTCTCCTGCGCTGACTTCTCGCCGGCGACGGCGCCAGTGACGGTAACGTTTTCTAAGACGCTCACTTTCATCGCGAACATACGATCCAATTTCGACCCGGCGCGTTCCGCACCGTCGGGTGCAGTTTTCTTGGTTATATTGACTGGCGTGTTTAAACGCTTCCCCGATCTGTTTTTCCTTTGTACTGTCGTGACGTTATAGTCGAAGCTTTTGCCTTTTTTGGAAGTCTGAGTGGGCAGAAAAGGCTCTATGTCCAGAACTCTGTGGTCTATGTTGAACTGATCATTTTGTAGTGTATTTTGATCTAGCACTTTAGAAAATTCCCGTGCCTTCACGACGGCGGTGTCATTCAAGTAGTCGCTATTCGTCGCTATTACGTTGTCGATCCGATTCACTAGGAAGTCGTCTTGTTTCGTTTTTTGTAACGAAGCTATATTTTTATCAGCTTTCCCTATTAACTCGTTTGTCTTGTTTATTTTTATCTCATTGTTATAATTTTTGTGCCCTATTCTGTTGGACGAAGATTTTTCTGTTTTGTTATTGAAATATCCATAGTATCGTAACAACTTATTTATCATTTCCGTACTATATAGGTTGACCGGTGGTAAGCTTTCGCTTATCGTGAAAGTTTCTGAGAAAGTGCAATTGTATTTAGTCATGTCCGCCTTTGACTCGGTGGTGGAGTAGTAACACGTTTCGCCGTCTGATAGGCTTTTGTTCCAGGTCATCCAGTCTCTGAGCCACAGCTCCGCGCTGCAGTTGATCCTATTACCATGCAGTCTCAACGTCTTCAGTTGCGCTAAGTAGAACAATAAATCATTACGAATAGAGGAGAGGTTATTCATTCTCAAGTCTAGGTACTGCAAGTGCGAGAAAGCGGCTAGAGCGGCAGAATCAGCGAGAAGTTGGTGTGCTAGGCCCGGGCTACCCTGGATGTGCAGCAGCTGCACGCTTTCCGGCGCTGATAGCGGGAACTGCCCCTCTTGAGCCGGTGCCGATACGTTAAGCCCACACAGGCGAAGGTCGCGCAGCGCCAGCGGGCCTTCAAAGGTGCTGCGCGTTAAACTCTGTATCGGGTTGTCCGATAAGTCCAGCATCTCTAACGACAGCAGGTCGTCAAACACATGGTCTTGTATATACCTTATTTGATTACTCTTCAACATCAAAATGCGTAGATTGGGCAAGTTCTTGAAATCAGGTATCGACAAATTTCTTAACAGGTTGTTGTCGATCGACAAGTACTTCAACTCGTCCGGCAGGGACTTTGGCACGGCCATTAAAAGGTTTTTGTTCAAATTCAAAAATAGAAGCATCTCCAACCTGCCCAATGAATCGTCCTCTACCGAGATGATTTTGTTATCGGAAAAATCTAGAGATTGCAGTAAAGGATAACTGTCGAGATCTCCACATCTTATTCCGGATATTTTGTTCCCCACTAGAGAGAGAAATCTTACTGAGTGCGTGAACGCTTCGGGGACCTGGAAGAGGCCAGTGCGGGAGGCATCGATCTGCTGTAAGCGACGGCCAGTACCAACGAGCAGCTGCGCATCCAGTTGCGTACGGCCGAGGCGCGGATTGTCAGTGAGCAGCAGTCGCGCCAGGTTGGGTAAAAGCTGCAGCGCGCCTGGCGCCAATTGTCGCAGGTTGTTGTGCGAAACGTCCAGGTGCTGCAACAGCCAATTGTTGAAGTAGTTCTCGTGGATCAACTCGATCTTGTTCCTGCTCAGGTTCAAATGCTGCAAGTTTTTGAGCGGCGTGAACACATTCGCCAAGCTAGTCAAATTATTTTCCGATAAATCCAAAGACTCCAATTTTGACAATCCATTAAAACTTTCCTCGAATACGCCAATGATTTTATTTTTGCTAAGAATTAATTTCCGTAGATTCGAAAACTTGTTAAAAAGACCCTTGTTTATGTAGCGCAATCTGTTCGACGATAGGTCGAGTTCGCGCAAATTTAACGGTCTAACGTCGATGTTAATTTCTACAAAAGAAGTATTTACAACACGCAAAGCCCTGGTGTCAAGCGATGAGGCGCTGAAATTGAAATTTTCCACATTGCATGTGTGCCGAAAAGCAGTCGCAACTTCTGAGAGCGTTTTGTTTACATATTTTAGCGCCCACCTAGATATTGGCCGATCTTCATTACAACACACGGGCACCTGGAATATTTTTAAATTGTCCTTAAGAGTAACGTTGTACGAGCAGCTGCGGCATAGGGTAGTGTCACTGCGGCAGAGACACACTTCGGAGCAGGTTCCGGCCCATAAAGTTATTTGCCACGTCGACACAATCAACAAAAATAAATATTTCTTCAAATGCAGAGCCATCTCTGACGGCGACACTCGCGTCGTGCTTTTTACGCGGGCTTAAATATTGTGTGGTATTGGCACCGATTCAAGTGAAACATGTTCCAGTTCGCATCGCCACTCGAGTCCTTCCGCGGTTCTTCCAAGCGCGGCATTGTTGCAGTTTCACACGAGCACATACACTTCTGTGGGCGCTACCTAGGCCAGGATAGTGTCGGTCAAGCGGCCGGGCCCGCCGGAGTTAGACAACCGGCGGAAGAATAGGCCGAGGTGACGTTATCGCGCGACGGTCGCGAACACGCGACGGCGTGACGCGAGGCGCGAGCGGCGAAACGGCCGGCGACGGAGGCGGCGCCAGCGGGTCTGCCGCGAGCACAGAGGAGCCCGCGCCGGCGCCCGCCGCCCGCCCCGCGCCCGCCCCGCGCCCTCCCGACTCATTTTTATATAGTCGACTGACTTCCACACCGCCACTATTTATGTCATACTCGCCTCTCCCTAATACGTTATTTTGAGGACGTAAGTATTTGTAAGTGTACGCTATATCATGGGCCGCTCTCGCAGGGAGCGCTCCCCGCTGGCCATTCTCGGCAGGACAGCATGATTTAAACGAAAACTTATTATTGCTCGACGGCTTATAGAGCCGTTCCAGACGGAACGCCTGTGGATTTTTACCACAAGCTAACTCCCATCGTTCGCATTTAAATAACGACCTATGTACCTACCCGATTAATGCCTAGGAATAACTCAACCTAAGATTCAAGCATGATAAAACTGTTTGGAAATTTAACTTTAAAAAAAAAATTAAATTTAACCTTCTACGCACGCACGCACGCACGCACGCACGAAGTACTGGTACTTCAGCCGTGGACAGCTCGACAGGTATGCTTAAAGGGCGGGCCTTTAGGGGCCTAAGATAGGCTTGTTTTGGAGGAAGAGTGTTTTTTAACTGTGTGTCAGTTGTTCCATGTGATAACCAATCATCGGAAAAGGGTACTCCACATATTTAGATACATGTATAGATATAGTTACAGGGAGCGGCATAGAGTCGTTGAAACTACCAAATATTAATGATTTACCTTTTTCGAATTCCGGATTTCCGAATGAAAGAAACTCCTCACTTTATTATATTTATGAATGTCATGGGTAAGGCCGTTTAAAAATCCCTCCTCTATCTCCACATCTCTCGGTTTTGCGCCACTGAGGTCCAGTCCTTAAGGTGCGCGTCTAGCTCATCTCTCCATCGACGCTTTGGCCTGCCTCATGGTCGTTTTCTATCTTTGGTAATCCATTCTGTGGTCGCCTTCGCCCACGACTCGTCTGACATGCAGCAGACGTGACCCGCCCAGTCCCATTTTTTTATCTGTTAAGTATAGCAGATAAAATTTTAATTCTATTTATGAAATAGTTTTAGAGCGCAATCACAACGAGTCTCATGCAAACTAAAATGTCTAAAAATCCTCTCGTAAATAAAATTTTAAATTTTTTTTTCTAAGTTCTGCAAATGTCGTCGTTACGTCAATGTGAACGTTAATATACTGTATCTAAAGGTAGGGAGGGCGGAAAGCAACCATTCTGGTTTCTTTTTTATTCACTGTTTTGGTAAAAAGTCAGTTATCTACAGCATTTTTTTACATGGCACCACTGGAATTCCTGTAAAGTCCAGCTTCGACTTCCTTGGTGAGTAGTTTTGTCCTACGATGCAGTAAATCCACTTCCGGAAATCTGGAATCCGAAACAGTAATTCATTGATATTTTGTGATTTTAACAACTCTATGTCTCTCCTCCTTGTAGCTTTTTTTTATTCTAATATAAGTGTGCATTTGACCTCCACCTCACCTGATGGAAAGTGACGATGAGGTCGACGATGGAGCATGCACACCTAGATAATGCCTATTCACTCTCGCCTTGAAAAGGTCCAAGTTATAACGTTCAGGGAACAAGTCTGCAGGCAGGGAATTCCACTCCATAGCCGTTCACCATATAAATGTGGAAGCGTAACGCTTCGTGCGAATCTTTGGAATATCCACAACATAGGGGTAGAATTCGAGCCTACGCCTAGTCCCCCGATGATGGAAAGGGGAAGGCGGAATTAAATCGTGTAATTCCATCGCACACTCTCCGTGATATGTCCTGTAAAATACCGATAAGCAGGCAACTTTACGGCAGTGTTCAAGGCTCTGCAGCTTCGCCTCTACTGATTCCGAGTCACCTATAAGGCTCTTGGCACGCTTGTCAATTGAATCCAAGCTGGCCAGTTGATATGTAGCAGAGCTATCCCAAAGGCGGCAACAGTACTCCATACATGACCGGACTTGTGCTTGATACAGCTGAAGCAACAGTCCCGGTGTGAAGTACTCAACCTTAGAAAGGATGCTAATCTTCCTGGCTGCATTTTTGGCCATGGATTCAATGTATCTGCCGAAGTTCAGATTGGACGACAGGTCCATTCCAAGTAGCTGGAGACGGTCGGCTATTGGTATGGATATATCACGAAAAGTCGGAGTCAGCTCAAAGGGACTCCATTTAGTGGAGAATAGACCCGCCTGCGTTTTGATAGCGTTAAATTTGACAAGATTGGCATTGCCCCAATCGGGGACTGCCTTGAGCGTCAAATCTAAACGGCTAACCATGGACTCTCGACAAGACTGGATTTCCTCTCCTCTGACCTTTGCATTGGTCAAGTACCTATCTACAACTGTGCTGTCATCAGCATACGCAAAGGTACCTGGAATTAACATATCATTGATATGCAGCAGAAAGAGAGTTGCAGACAGTACGGAACCCTGAGGAACTCCGGCACGAGGTACACTAGTACACTTGTTCTAGTACACTATTTGTGCAACTCCTGTATCTACCAGAAGCCACAAAACAGAAAAACTCAGTGCCTCAAGGTTTTTGAGACGCTTGACACAGAAGTCATCATGAACGTACACACAGACTCCGGCACGAGGTAGAAACCTGTGCTCCAGAGTATACCCGTGGTAGCTGAGGTACGCCGTGTCAGTCGGACTTCTGATCTGCATCTCGGTGAGGAACAGCAGCTGCGGTTTATCGGTTTCAAGATGATGGTGGACCGAATCGAGATTTGAATGCAGACCTCGGATATTGAGGTGCACTTTTAGTGGGAGGACGTGCAACCGCTGTGTAAACTTATCCGTATTACCGTTTCAAAGCTCACACTGCCACACGAGGGTACAATCGGCTTGGAGACTGCGGGGACGCCCGAACTCCCCCGGAGATAGCCACCTGGTCCACCCCTCCGGTCGTCAACCGGCAAGGTGGAGCATTCCGGGATTTTTCGTTGAGTGGCGGGGCAGCCTTACACGGGTGGCTTTCCCGCTGCTTGTGCCCCCAACTTCCCACGGTCGGCCAGCGGTGCACCGTGCTTCGGATCACGCTAGCCTCCAGAACCGAGTGCTCAGTGTGGCAGCACAAGCAGCTACAACTCGTCGTCAGACGCAATGCAGCTGTTCAGACCCTACCTCCTAATGGCGACTCCCGAACACGAGTTGGAACACGGTGACGACCATTTGGCGACTCGACTACATCGGGAGGGTGGTGACTAGACACGGCAGAAGCCTACCACCAGTAGTTGTTGCTCTTTAGCACCACCCAGGGGTCACTTATAGGGTCTCGAGGGTAAACCTACGGAAGCGAGCAACATCAATCCCCAAAAATATCTATACATGTATCTATATACTCGGAACACCTCTTTCTGACTGATAGCTGCGATTAAAGTGTTGCTTAGTGACAAACCTGTGCTAATAATTACAGTGTACATGCCGTTTGATAATAGTAAAAACCTAACCGAGTATTCAGACTACTTAGGTTGTTTGTCTGCTATAGTGGCGGGCAATGACGTTGAGTCTGTTATAATTTTAGGGAACTTTAATGTTCACATAGACACACATTTTTTTAATGAACTAATTACTTTTTGTGCAGAGACGGACTAGTTCCTAGCATATTTTAAAATATACTAGGAAGTAATTAAGGCACTTGTACATACATATGATCATTTTCCGATGCAATTTTAATGTACTTAAAAGTAAAATGAAGTTTCAGCCTCGACAGCCATACGACAGACATATCAACATAGGGTGCCTATGGGGTAATAGAACACCTGTACAAGTAGAACAATATACAAAAATTTGTAATAAAAGATTGAAATACTTTGATTTACTTATAGATCTACAGAAATGTTGTGGAGAATTCTGTAGTAACTATAAATACAAAAGCATAATTAATGAATTATACAACCAATTTGTTTCCATATTATGTTTAGCAGCGAGTTCAGGATATAGTGAAAAGAGATACCATAGAAAATGTGTTGCAGGACGGAATGAACATATTAGCATCGTTCACGGTGAGGTCAGCGCCAAGTTTATGACGTGGGAGTGGTACGGCTATCCTAAGTCGGAACCAATCTATGACGATATGGTTCAAGGCCAACGTGTTTTTAATGGCAGACTTAAAGGATGTCAAAATAACCAAGACCAACTAAAAATAGATAACCTTGCGTTACATTACTCCAAGTCTGATTTTCGTAATTTTGGAAGTCCACCAACAAATTGAACGGACCACATGGCGTATCCGTAAGCGTTGATGATGTGACTAAGGAGCAAGGCATTGCCGATCTTATCAGAAAGCATTTCTGTACTATAAAAAACTTTACTGTACATCACTGTAAATTCGACTTTAAATTAGTCTGCATCCGTGATCGATTCTAAGTTCTGTTGTGGACCGGTTCCGACCAGAATCAAAGCAAGTGATGAGCAAAGAAAGGATAAGGAAAATTACCGGGACACGACGGTCCCAATATTGAACACTTAAGGTTTGCGGGCCCTCATGTAGCTCTTGCTTTGCTGTCGGGTACCTACTACACAACAGAAAAACGCCGATTTCCGCGTGCTTCCTGGGCTTGTCTAAGGCGTTCAACTTAGTCTCCTACGACATCCTATGGGAAAAACTCAGTGCCACGGGTACCCTTATGGAACTGATGAATGTTTTTAAGTATTGGTACCAAAATCAAACCAATGTTACGGTGGGCTAACACATTTTCTGAGTTCTATACCTGGGAATGCGGAGTGAGGCAGGGGGACTAACATCGCCTAAGTTGTTCAATTTGTATATAAATACACTGATCGGTGAATTCTGCAGCACACATGTCGGTTGTTACGTAGATGGAATTTGTTTAAATAATGTTAGTTATGCCGATGACATGGTACTGTTAGCTCCATCGATCAGTGCACTAAAGAAACTTATTAGAGTATGTTAATTGTGTGCAGCTTCTCATGGTCTTATATATAATGTCAAAAAGTCCGAGTATACGCTCCTTGGAGCCGCCGGTAAGACGAGTTCAA